GGATGCCTGCCGCATAGTCCCGATACCATCTTGGGCGGAATGCCGCCCGCTTTGGTCAACACGGAGGTGCTACAGCGTACAGGAGTATGTCATCAGTCAGTAATAACTGTTAACTCTGTCTACCAGCACGTTAGCGTACAGCTTGCACCTTGTGGGACTCTTCAGTAGATAGAGTGACGGCGTTTTTACCATGGCATCTCCGTGCCAGCATCGGCAGCGAAATATGTGGATACCAGATCTGACCTCATTCCTACACACACACACTTGATCTGATGATGGACAATGTAGCCTCGCAACAAGGCATATCCAGACGGCTAAACAGCGAGATTCACATCGGCCCTGACAGTGAGAGGAACAGGCCTCCTACTCGCCTGAACTAGAGGCTAAGGAAACAGAAATACCTAGTCCGAAAACAGTTTCCATGGTGATAGAGAATCTAAGCGCCTATTTGACTGATTTCCGTCGTGACAAAGGTTCCTGAGCTCATGTCAGTAGTTTTTGGAGGGCCTGCAAGGGGGGTAGTGAATACGAATTACGCAAAATTTTCGCCGCCTATTACGAATTACGTTAAAGTCTCAGAGCTGATTACGACTTTACGATTTGCGGCCAATGTCCTATTACGAATTACGTTGATTTTTGCGGAGGCTGCCTACGAATTACGAAGTCTAAAACAGCCTGATTACGCCTTACGAAAAAAGGCTTGCAGGCCCTCTTTTTGGATTAGGCCGTAGAATGAGTGAAGACCAGGACACAACAGGCTGACGAGAAGCCTTCTCTCCTGTAAGAGCCCAGTAGAAGTATCAAGGTATCAAGAATACGTTTTCTTGAGTTAGAAGTGGTGTATAAGCACAAGCTCCCAATCAGCCCTGACAATCAGCGAGGGATTATGTAACACGGGATGACTGCAGTTCGTGAGGTCTGTGGTTTGTTAAACATCAAGGTGAGAGGTGGAGAACACCTCTAGTCCAGGACAGACAGGACCAGCTCCGCACTACCCTGGAATCCAAACTCGCTGTCCGGGCCGCAAAAGCCCTTCGCCCGCTGGTGTAAATTACCGCTACGGGGGAGTCTAGCCCGGGGGGAGTTTGGCTGGCCGGACCAACGAGTTCTAGGGCCAGCCAACTCCCATCGGGCTCAACTCCCCCGTAGCGGTAATTTAGGCAGGCGGGCGAAGGGCTCTCGGCTGCCGAAGGAAAAAGGCTAACGGCCCGATACTAGTTTGGCATCCAGGGTAGCTCCGCACAGAACAGGAGCGGTACAGAACCAGCAACAGTCTGGGTTTAATCACGGCCGTGACACGGTGGAATGTACGGGGCCGACACCAGCCCGGCTGCACACGGGAGATGCCCTAGTTTTACCCAAAATGACACAACAATCTGGACCTGTCAGACTAATAGTATGATAACAGGGTATTTTGTGCCTGCCATATCTATGATATATATAAAATAGATAAATAGTAAAGCATGCCTACTAGTACTACATAAATTCAATTGGATTATTACGATAACGAGTGTTATTGCCGCAATGTTCATTGGTTTCTATATCTGTATCTGTATAGCCGGTATAACCGCCTTTCGGCGTAACACACCAGCTTCGCAGGCACGCGGTGCGGCGGCAGCTGGCTATATTACACCGATCGACTTGTTACACCTAACCCTTGAACTTCTAGCTCTAGACATTGTTTAAAGCTATCTATTGACAGTGCCCCTACTGTACTTGGTGACAGTGAGTTCCACTCTGCGATAGTTGTAGGGAAGAATGAATTCTTGAACACCTCAATCCTTGGTTGATAACTCTGGTACTTGAATGCGTGGCTATTTCTTGTTCTCTTCTGAGCTGGTATTAGGTACTTAGTAGTTGGGACATCCACCTAGTTTGGTAATTGTTGATAATATATTCTCTGACCTGATCATAATAATCATAATATATTGAAAAATCTGCTTCCTGATAAAATAACCCAACAAAACGTCAGAGGTGCGACTCAATTTACCATTAGTACCTGAAGTTCTGTAACAGGACGCTAGGTGGCGCAGCACACAGTAGCATCAATCGTCCACTGTGAACAGCAGCTACAGTATTACAGGAGACAACCACAGTTTTACAGTCATCTCAATACTAGCAGTACTGCTGACAATGTGGGAACCGTTTGAGGACTGATCGCGCTGCCACAAGACTTGGCTGTAGTCCAGTAGTTCTGTCTGTTTTAGTGGTGACAACCGGCCCGTGGGGAAACAATGACATGTTGGGTACACGTGGGACGCTTACACAACACACGGACTATTGAAACTATGCCGACTGGAAAAAACACGCAGATAAACACTTGTGGTGATCACAACCGTACAATTCACAATTGTCCTGATCAGTACATCTGAACTAGCGTCCGGACATTCCTGTGCAGCCTGACGAAGACTATCGGCATGACGCGATTGTCCGGCGCTACTGTTCCAGCCATTGCCAGCAGTGATGCGGACACGCGGTGACAGCTGCATGGCTGGAGGCTGCGCTCATGCCTGGACAAAAGTCACCAGCTTTAAATCCTTCCCACCATCTCCTGCCTGCCGAGCCAAGTTCTCTTACAAATATAGACGCCCCCTCAGTGCCCCTAGCCCTTGATGCCAGTACCCTGGGGGCCAGAAAAGTATCGGGCCGCTAGCCGTTTTCCTTCGGCAGCCAAGAGTCCTTCGCCCGCCTATCTAGATCTACAGGGGATTTTTGGCCTTGCACACTGTATAACTTTGGGCCTCGGTGCTATAGGTCTGGCATCCAGGTTAGCCAGGCCTAACTGAGGGGGCTGTGGTATAATTTCCTTGGCGGCATGTTGGCCCTGGAAACAGTCTGGCACCCACGCTACACCCTTGGACGGTCCGGGTACAACACATACACGCCTCTACTCTCACTGAAATGTACAAAACAGACGTACACACGAACTGACGACACTTACGGAGCCATGATTGATTGATTGATTGATTTGATTTGATTGATTTATTGATCGCAACAGTGCAATACACATGGGACAAAAGCAGCTATTGCTGGTGTTGTGTCCAACACATAGAAACAAACAGAGGACAAGACAATACTTTCACTTGAGTTAAAGTGGGGAAAGTCGTGTAAAATTCCTTCCCGATGGCACAAGATCGGTAGCCTGGATGCCAGACCCAAAGCACACTGGACACAAAATATCTCAGTGTGCAAGGATATTGAGATATTTTGTATCCAGTGTGCTTTGGGTCTGGCATCCAGGCTACAAGATCGGTGGCATGACTGGACTCTCGAACCCGGGACCTCTTGGTTCCGAGTCGAGCCGTTGCGCCACACCATGGCATGATCGCCAGACCATGGGACGCACTAGATCTCACAAACATCGCGTGGTCGTGTTGACTCCGCCGTGCAGACCCGCAGTCAGGCCAGGAAGTCTTCCGTCCCAGCTGGGCAGATCAGATAACTGTTGGCACTGAACCAGACCTGCAGTCACGGCCAGCGCACAAATTATACACCATCTGGTCCGGGGGTTTATCCCTTCCTCAAACTCCACTTACACTAAAGACAACCTGAAGGCGTCTGTGAGTAAAGCACGCCGCTAAACCCGTTTGGAGAGATTTTCTATAGACGTTTCGGCGTCGAATCAATGCAAATGTCATATCCTCTCCTCGTAAAGATGAGATCAGATTCGTACACGACTGCACCTCCGCTGTTCCCGCGAACATTTACTGTGGAAACTATAGGGGATTAACTGTGCCCGTGAATACCCGGTAAACCGCAACAAAGGGCGGATTTCCGACTCTTGTCCGGATCCATGGAAAAGGCACGGCGTTTGCCAGCGGTCATTGTTACATCGGGACAACATAAAACCTGCTTGACAGTTACGTCACCATGGTGACCGTCGCCATGGCAACGTGGCAGTGAGGAGGAGGAGGAAAGGCTCCGCAGGTCAACAACCTCTTGCGTCACAAACTTTGCACAATACATAGACATAGTACAAGGAAACGTCCCACGTTATAAACATTAAGATCTCTGCACGTAGACACCCACTGTTCTTCGCTTAGTATGGACAAGTCACAGCTAGGGCCTTGGCAATACTGATTTTGCTTCCTAAGCTATTGTACACTCTTACATGGCGATTCTAAGTTTGGCACCTGGAAGAGTTTGAGAGTTTAGAAGGTCACAGGTGCGGTTTATACACAAGTCTTGCTGTCCAGAAACGGTGTCGGTGGCTGGCTGGCAGTTACGTCTTTTCTCATTATCATTAATACAGGGTGTTTGGAAACTTTCCACTTTTTTGCGATATTTCATGAAAATATATCTCCAGGTCCATTGCCTCTTGTAGCCCGTAAGCAGAGTGAGCTCTGGAGTACAGTTTTAGTTTTCTGGAGAGATCTAGTTGGAGCCCTTCAGTTGTAAACACCTCCCGGACTGCCCTTGTCTGTCGGCACCTTGCCTGGGGTAAACACCACGGCCCTGAGCTTCACCACCGACCTCCCAGCCTCACCGCCAGATCTGTGCTCTACATTTCCGTTTCCCCGCTGTACGTTCTCATGCCAACATGCGAACGGCGGATATTCCCACTGTAGCTGCCAGAGCACTTTGTTGCTGTTATAGCTTTGTTACTGTTTTGAAGCTGCTCTAGTGTTTGTGATACGACGAGAAGGAGAAACTTTCACAGGGTAAGTTTATTTTGAATCATGATGGATCATGGCAATACGTATTTGTACGTGGCATACACGGTACCTTTGCCTGCCGTGTTGGGGCAACTTTCAAAATGCTTAGGCTGACTGTATAGAGTAACTTTAGAGATAAACATCGTCTTTCAATCATTAGAATCCTTCCCATGGCAAGAACATTGCAAGTTTGAAAGAGTATTTTACTTAACGTATTCCATTTCCATATCAAGAAAAAAGGGTGTGATATCTCTTCAGTTATACTTATAACTTATAGCCACGCCAGCTATGCTTTGTCATCATGTTGCTTGTGCACCTTGCCAGAACCATCAGGAGTCAGTGCGCAGCTGCATCATGGCGGCCATCCCCGCAGCTTCCCTTCTCCTCCTCCTCCTCCTGGCTGACGTCATCACAGCTGTGGTCACGTGCCCTGCCCCCTGCAGGTGTACCGGTACTCACGTGACCTGCCACAGCCACCTGACGCACGTGCCTGAAAACGTACCTGCGCAGACCACCTGGCTGGACCTCAGTCACAACAACCTGACGTCGCTGGACCGGCGGACCCTGTCCAACCTGGTCCACCTGATGAGGCTGAACGTGTACGGGAACAACATCAGCACCATCGCAGACGACACTTTCACAAACCTGACGATCCTACAGTCTGTAAACCTTGGATACAACCGTCTGTCGTATCTGAATCCCGATGTCTTTGCGGATCTTCCGAACTTGAGGAGCGTGTACCTGAGCGGGAACCCGTGGAGCTGCGACTGCCACCTGCAGCACCTGATCACCTGGGTGCGTGCGTCAGCTGCCGTCCAGTCCGGCAGGTGGGGGCCCACCTGTGCGTCCCCGTCACGACTACGTCACACGCCGCTGGACCAGGTGGACCCTCAAACTCTGTGCCCGAACACGACACCTGTTGACTCCAAGGACCGGACCGACAAGGTCCTTACACGCACAACAACGCAAGAGACCACCATCAGTAACGACGAAAGGCTGTCTGCTGTAACCAGATCTATGACATACAAAATTTCATATTCAGCCACAACACTGCCTACGACACCAACTATCGCTGAGTGTGGAGAAGCTATCACACTTACAAACATCACCGTCTCTGACACGACTGTCCAATGGCAGGTCAGCTCTCCTGACGTCACAAGCCTGAGGGTGACGTACAAAGGACCTCATGACGTAGCCCCACACCAGACCCGCGTCTTGTACCGGCATCGTGCACATCGTAACAGCTTCACGCTGACCGGACTCACACAGAATACGTCATACATCATCTGTGTAAGGTCTACCTACCGGAGGAGACAATGTCGTCCGACAAACGCCACCTGTGTGCAGGTGAGGACAGCCTCTCCACCGGACCTGGATTCCCGGTCTGTACACCTGCACGGTCCGGGGAAACACACAGTTGCAGGTGTACTGGCCGCCGTGGTCGCTGTTGCCTCGGTCATTCTCATCGCTTCCTGTCTGCGACAGGTAAGAACTTCGCCATTATCATTACGTCGGTGGCAATGTGGTCTTGTGGTTCTAAATGTTGTGCGTTTCAATCACTCACAGTCACCATTTGCAAAGGCATTTTACAAATATTTCCTCACTCGACTGAGGTAAAAATTAGTACTTAGATTCGGTTAGGGACGTCCTCTCGGATTTGACGTTATGTGAAACGAAGCAAAACTACCTCGCAGACCACTACTATGCGTTGAGTATTGAAATCTGCTGATGCTAAAATTCTAAACTAACGGCCCGATAGCACCACAGTTCTATACAGTACGTATGCGTTTTCTATTGCAGAAAATCTCGACACTCATCCACAGAACCTGCCAACCCCAGACAGACAACATGCAGATGGGGATCCTATCTTACAGCTAATGATGACAACATACGGATGAAGATAGTCCTCAACAGCGGACTGTTACGGCAGCTAGTTGCTCACAGAATTTTCCCAAACATCTAATATATACAGATCTAACGGTTTGAAGGCCAGTTCGGGAGCACACATACGAATGCAGTGTTCCAAAGTGCCATTCTCCTATCTGAACAATTGCACCTAAACTACATTAAGAGTTGGTAGTTTGACAAATTATATGAAGTAAATGGAATAATAAAAGTCATTAAGACTTACATTTGTTCGTTGCTATTTCGTCGAAAGCATCCATCGGAAGGCTTCGCCGTTTTTGCGCAACACGCAACGTCGTTATTTCGCTGCAATACCGCTGTACCGGTATAGGCAGCGCTGCTAATTACAGACGTGTTTATAATCCAAACATTGCAGCACTGTTACGCCCTGTCTTATTGGGTAATCCGCTGCTATTTGGGACAGTCATGTGGATTTTGAAAAATCGTCGGGATTTCGACCAAATTAATGGCTAACTCCCGGGATCTGTTTCTTTTAGTATATACTTTTCTTACATCTATCTATATTCATGAAGAATTCTCTTAATTTGCTACTCTCCAAGTAGAGGTTTGGGTTTTGAGTTATTTTTGGCGTGTTTTTATACTTTTTATCGGGATTTCTTTTTCGCTCTGGAATTTGTCTTTGGGGTGGGTGAAAGAAAAATTCCAGTGCAAAAAAAAAAGAAACCCCGATAAAAAAGTATAAAACACCAAAACACACAAATTGGTTTGCATATACATAGTCATAGACACAGTACAGGGAAACGTCTCCCGTTATAAACATTAAGATATACTATGCTCGTAGTTACCCACTGTTCTTCGCTTAGTATGGACAGGACCTTGCCAATACTGTGCGCATATGAGATGTCAAAACTAAAACCCTATGCTTGGAGAGTATACATGTACTAGTAATTTGCTTCTTGTAGCCCTCGCACAACATTCCAAATTAATCTGTTTTTGGTATATAGAAGAATCATGAACTTTTCTTACATCTATCTACATGCATAGTCATGAAGAATTCTCTTTTAATTTGCTTCTTGTAGCCCTCGCACAACATTTAGTATCATTCCCTACGCCTCTGCGTCGCGACTGTGCCCCAGTTGTCGTGCCCAATTAGCGGCCCTATTAGTCCCCATCAGCCGCGTGTGTGTGTAACCTGACACGTCACGACCCCGGCTCAACTTGAACTTGACTCCGCAAGGCCCTGTCGGACAGGAGGGTCAGAGGTCAGCTCCCGCGAGCAGACCTGAATACCGCTGGCCAATTATCGAGTCGGCGCTGCCACGCGTGCAGGCCTGCAGGATGGGCGAGCATCAGGGGTGTATTATAGAGCTAATGCCGTTCTCATTAGTCTCATGCAGCGGACAAACAACCACCCAAACCCGGCGCAATGTCCTCTTATGGCTCTGCTGAAGGCTTTGTGCCTACCTGGGGACAACGTTGTGTGGTCTCCAGATGTGATATTTTGTCTCCTTTGTATTTTCTTTGTACAAATTCCTGGAAGTTACGGTTTGGTACATGTTTATATGCTGCCATCATTACAGTAATGATGGCAGTATATAAACATGTACCAAAACGTAGCTTCCAGGAACTTGTACAAAGAAGTTCCTTCCTGGAAGTTGTGCAAAGGGAGCACAAAAGATCTGCTTGAAGAATATCGGACAGGAAAAGTTGACATGAAAAGCACGTAATATGGACCAACACAAGTTTCCTGGTTTTCTGTATCATATCTGTAGCTGTCATACATCAAGTAAAGTCTACACATAGTACGCCACTTCTTGAGAAGAGTGTTGTATAAACTCACAACGAACGATCTTAATTAGGATTTTTGTTTTGTACACTAAGTACAGTAGACATCACTCCACAATCCACACTGGATAATTAACGGTCCGTCCCCTTTAAAATCATCCACATCATCATGTCCACAGACGGTGGTGATGACGTCATGTGCCCTGTGGGTGGGGAGGGGGGCAGTCTGTACACATCATGTAAACATAAACATGTTCTATTCTGCATGCGAAAAGGTCAACAGTCACTCGTGCAAGGTCAGGAGGTGGCGTACCAGACAGGGCCGAGCCTCTGCCGCAGCCTGTTCACGTCCGCGCGGGTTTTGTGTGGAAACGACTGCTCAAAAGGGCAAGTGTCTGAATAGGTTTAAAGTGTTAGACATTAGCATCTTTTGCTGGTGGAGTGGAGGTTGTGATTTCTACATAATTTGCTGTACTTCAACAATGTTACATGGTCATGGAGGCAAGAAGATACTTGATAATGTGGCGATTTTCTCACTTTCGCGTTGGTCTATATATTAATCACTTTCAAATAAGTTCATGTATTTACACGACCTACTTTTTGCAGAGTTGTTGGGGCGTCTCATTTCACAAAATATATGGCGTTTTGACAGAACTTGTGAAGGTTTAAAACTAGTTTAGAACTAGGGACGGAGAACTTATGTTACCTAGAAGATATAGAGGTTAAAGTTGAGTTGTTGAGTAAAGCTCGAGAGAAGAGCTGTTTACACAAACTTTCTAGATACATTACGCTTGGGGCGTTCAAGTTGGGCCTGCTGAACAGTTCGGGACAACAACAACAAACGTGCAGCCCCTCAGACTGACAGGGCAGGATGGTCGGGCTGATACCGGCACGGAAATATACAAGCTTCCGATCCATGAGGACCCACTTAGGCTATTAATAGACTTAGCGGTGATATGATATTTCTAAAATACCATTTCCGTGTAATACTAGTAATTTGGAAACGGCGGTAGAGGAGGATCAAATTGTCAGAAGTTGAGAAGGATGGTGGGGGGGGTAACCGTCCATCATTACAGCACAGTAGGTAAGTGGCGGCGGAGGACCGAAGTGGCGACAAAAATAACCCCCTAATCGTACTCAGCGCGCGGCATGTACAACATGGTTGCGATAGCTCCACTACAAAAACACCGGGATAGCCTGTCCTGCAGACGTGACTGTATCATGAAAGGACAAAGCAGGTCTGTCCTACCGTTCCTGTCTCTCTGTAACTTTCGCACCCGAGTCTTCAACGTTCACGTCGCTCTGCTGCAGAGCGCTCGGGCGTGGTCAGGGCGAGTCGGACGTGTGGTCTCCTCGGCGGCAGAACGCAGACTGTAGCGGCGGAGTGTCCGCCTGTATCTGCCCGGCCTGTAACGTGAGACGCGCGCTGGCTGACCCGCGGGGTCAACCCGATCGCCTTCCCGCCACGAATGCCAGCTATTCCCGCGCGCGGCCCGCGGGGAAGCTCCCTTTTCCGAGACGTAAAGAGAGGAGCTCACGCCGCCGCTGCTGCCTTTAAAGGGCGGGCGAATGTTGGCGTTATCAACGGGACAAATAAAGTTCAGACGGGGAAAAGTCGTTTTTCTGGACCTCCAGGATGAAAACTCGGGCATCAGGCAGTGGCAGGTTTACTGCTAATGGCCTGTCCTCAAGCTACATCGTAGTACATGTAGCTAGCAATCTGAGACAGTGGGCATAGACGGACTGTCAGAGCCCTACAATCTCTAGCCTGGGTTCCAGACCCATAGCACACTGGACACAAAATATCTCAGTGTCAGTGAGCCAGGTGTGCTATGGGTCTGGAACCCAGGCTATACAGTCTCTCCCTACAAGATTTTGTTGGGAAGGTTGGAAACAAAATCAGGCAAAACCGATTGAACGAACAGGAAATGCGTGATAATAAACTGATATATTGGAAAAGCAACACTGTATCAGAATTTTCCCGGACTTTCACCCGAAATCACCGTGCAATACACTTGGATGAAGTTTATATCATTGCGCTTGCCCCTGACTGTATATGTGGTATAAACCAACAAATGTTGCGATTTGTTTACCATCACTTTCTCAATGAAAATATGACTGTTTCACTCCTGTTGTTCTCATCATGTTTAACATACCGTCCGTGTTGTTGTAGTTGTCGTTCCCACAGATGGCGACAATGTAGCCGGTAAAAGAAAACATCTTGTCTAAACAGTGTAGCGATGTTGTGGCAAGTGGGGGCGTGGCCTGGTCTGAGAAGCTGCGGACGGAACTGGGCCTGTGTATGTGTATGTACTTAAAATATGTATATCAGGATCCCCATTATAAAGCAATTGCCATAACTGCACTGATTGACCATGGTCAATTTGCCACACGCCGGGAAAAACAAACAAATGTTGCAAATGTTGCGGTGTCGAGTTTCATGTGCGCGGAGGATGTGGCAATGTGATGTACAGGACTGTCATGAGGGAGGAAAGGTCTGTGTGTCCACAGATGAACGAAGATCGTGACATAAACAATTGTATTTCTGTGACATTCCTTCGCTTTGGGCCTTTGTGCTTTGGGCTTTTCGCTGTTTTTTTTTTTTTTTTTGTGGCTACTAGTACTAGTATGTGATCGCAAGCTGTGCGCTGCTAACTGCAATGATAGCATTTTCCGCAAGGCGGTGTCCATGCACGTTGAGAATTCGCAGGGATAACGTGCGATATACTACTAGTCTAAAGTTAGCCTCTACTAGGCTTCGGGAGACGGTTAGAAAGAGAAGAAATCCGTCAAATAGAGAGCTAACATGTGAGGGAGTACAGCATACCGCACGTAGAGGCTACTATATAGTGTCAATGTCCCTGCCGTTCAAATACATGCACGTATGACCCCGAACGTTTATAGCTCTGGTTGCAAAAGTTCAGTGACCCGCATACATAACTTCACATCGCTATCTCCTGTGGAACATGTTGCAACATTTGGTGTAATGTTACTAAAGTAGGCAGCCTGGTGTTCCCAGTAAATTTGTAGCAAAGAGATCAACTAACTGTTGTGTTTTACAGGAGAACAACTTGACGGATGCACAGTTTTTGTTGTTTTTTTTTTATTTGCAAATTGAACAAGGACAATACAAGACAAGGTGGTGAGGTACTCTAGCTATAGCTAATTTTAGCCTCACCACCAAACATAGAATACAATTACAATACATAACAAAAAACAGAGAACAGCAAGTGGGTGGGATGGGTCGTTAAATAGTACAAAGAAATGTTTAGTAGGCTATATAATAAATCAATCCAGTACAAACCGTTTGGTGTCAACAATGCACAGTTTGTACACTATGTTGAATGTGGATAGGTTTGCTGAGAGACACATGCTGTTTTTAGGTCTTGGCTCGCGAACCTGTGTTTACCTAACTGTGTTGTACTGAGTGACACTGCAGATGTAACAGGTGTGTGGTTTCCGGTTACAGTTGTGTGGTGTCAGGTTACAGGTGTGGCCAGGCGGCATGTGTGGCAACTCTGTTGTCTGTGTGTCCAACAGTTCAGAACCACCGACTGTAGCAATGTCTGCACGGGGTACCCTGGGTACCACACCCATAGCACATTAGGCTAACTTATCTCGTCTTCTTCCTCCACTTATCCAGTGTACAGGGTGGATAACTTTGAGTCTAGTATATAGTGTGCTGCGGGTCTGGCACCCAGGCTAGCATTTGTCTATGTTTGTTTATAGATGAAACAGATTTTCTCTGGAATTAGGTCATATAAACGTGTGTATATATTATCTATTCTGGAAGCTAAGGTCTGCTTCGACAGGGCGCAAAAAAAACAAACTTGTTAGTAGTTTAGGTTTGCTACAAAGTTATTTTAAAGCCGATACCAAGGGAAGAAACTGAATACTATGCGCACTTGCAATCAAACAAATTATTTAACTGTTACTGGTAAAAGATATTTCAAGACATCATCAAAGCAAACGTTATCGGACTATAACGTACCAGTGCGGATACCGGCCAACCCAGCCCATATAGGACCGGCTATACTGGTCAGACCTGGCACTGACTCTGTAAACTGAGCCAAGACCACAGGCTCTGCCAAATACACCACCCGTACATGGAGTCCGGGGCTTACTTATAATGAACGCCGTTAAGTCTGCTTTTATCTCTTACAGTCTGACTGAACCAAAGTACATCAACTGTCATCTATTTATGTGCGTGTCGGAACTACGGGAGGTTTACAGAGCAGGCGCTATGGTTGGTGATTTGTTCTCATGCAGCCTAATATCTTTCAGCCAGCATATTGAAATGGACAGAAATTATAACATATCACATATTACAGTATCATCAATGTAGGTATAGACTTTCTACCTCAAACCAACACATTAAGTAAAGACTTTAGAGTTGAGAATCTGCGTCTTCTGTCTATCGTCATCGTCCTCTATCAATAGCCCTTCATTTGTTGATCTAACTTCTAGTTTCTATAGAACGTGCAACATCATTGAACATGGTATCAGATGCTACCATGGGAAGGTATATTATACCCACAAAACTTGCACCAGAGACGTGTAACATAGCCGGCACAGTTTGTAACGTGAACGGCCAGGACGATACTTGGATATCATCGAGGGGATGGTATATCCATCATTTCTCTCAAGGCTCGATGCCACAGAAAACACCCAGCAGTCACGTTCAAGTGTAAGCCGATCCAAGTCTATAGATGTACATGATTCAGTTACATGATGAGATTTCACAGGTGGATCATAATAAACATACAAATCTATAGCTTATAATCAACCTACCTGCTTCTGCCTTTACCTCAATGCAGCCGAGGTTTGTACAGAAAATTCAGATCCTCGTCATCATCCACGTTTAGCTGCCCAAAAGTTGAAAGCTGTCAGCCCGTGAGATGTGGACAGCCGCTAGCCGGGACGTACGTGAGGATATTTATGAGCAGGTTCACATCAGCCACGGGACTAGCCGCGATGTTTCGGAGTTTGTAGTGAGAAGAGAAGTCGGAAGTGTTGTCCGTACAGCCAAACCTCTGGTCATTTCCCACATACTGCGGTAAACAGCAGGGGGTCGGGAGGGGGAGGCAATTAATCACCGCTTCTGCAGAGGCTATTAAAGGGTTTGTAGGGGTGGGTCATTGTGATTTCAATCAAAGTTGACTCTTGGGGTGAAGAAAGCACGTACAAAGTGGTACTGACCTGCTGAACATCTCAAACAGGCAGTGTCGTTTAGCATGGTCATAGTTCCATATCACAACTTTCCCGTCTCCCATGCCATGCATTTGTGTCCAGGGGAAAGGTTACATGAATGCTATGGTCAACAACTATGAATAAATGGCATAGGATACAAATCTTTATAAAATAATATTAATAAATTTTGACGAATCGTGACAAAATGGTTGTAGTATTGAATCTTGATGGAGTTCATGACCGGGTT